CATATTTTGCTAATCACACGTCTTGCAGGCACAGGAAGGGCCAGGCCACGGGCAGTGCTCTGCTGTCCTGAGCCACCTCTCCTTCTGTTTCCAGGGTTACATCTAGAGGTCTGGTTTGCAATTAAATATACGCAGGGTAATCGCCTCAGCCATCACCTAATCATTATAACAACTGCCTGCTGAGGTCACCAGAATCTACGGTGATATAAAACCTTACATAAAGATAAAGCAAAGAGGCAGCTCTTCCCTTTCCTCCAATCTACTGTATCCATGGGAACAGGCTGCAGTTGGATGTCTCCAGCACAGCGACAGACAGAAACCCTGCAGTGCACGGAGGAAAGGTCAGCTGAGCACCCCGACCACAGGGGCTGGGACCTGCGGTGCTGGGGACACCCTGCTCCCCACCCCAGGAGTCACAGCTTTCACGGGTGCAGGACAGCTGTGGTGAGGCCAATTTGCAGAAAGAAAAGTTAAAGGTTTGATGTGGTTCTCAGGGAGGAGAAGCTGGTGGAAGAAGGTGGCCCATGGGGCAAGCAGGGTGGAGGAGAGCCCAGCAACAGGCTCTAAAACAGGGTGTGAATAGAGAGGAGGGAAAATGCTTTTTTTTTCTAGCTAGGTTTGAATGCCAGTCCTTCATAGTGAAAAAAAAAATTGGAAGCAAATAAATAAGTCTCATAAGGAAGGACGAAGAAAATGAGTATCTCAGCTACTTCTCATTAGTGGAAGAGTATTTGCCTAGGTGAATATTTTGCCTGTTCCCACAGCATCCTCACCACGAACACACCGCTTCTGCACAGCAAACAAGCTATCAGCAGGGAGGAATAAGACTATTTAATTTCTTAGCACACCTTGAATAGCCCACGGGGCCAGCTCACATTTGGGAAAATGAATACACAACCCTGACAAATAGTATTAATAATGCAACACAAGGACTCGCAAGCAGAAGGCTGTGTACTAGAAACCCCCAAACCGTGTACACCATGCCCGAGTCAGCTCCTTACCCTGCCACAGTTATATGTGGCTGAAATCCAGCCTGATAAAATACCTTTGGGTATTGTCTGCTCGAAGCTGATGACAGGGCAGCTCTTTGGTCCTGTGTCTGGAGGAGGCAACAGCAAAGGTCATCGGGGGCTTCCCCAACCGAAGGGACTCGCTCTTGCCCTGCCGGAGCAGCCCCTCCATGCCATCCTCCTCGGTGAGAACAGAACCACGTTGCCCCCAAACACCTTCCCAAACCCCACTTAACCACAGCAGCATCTTCACCAACAGCTGAAACAGCTCAGCAGTGCTCTTGGTCTGCTGGGAGGCGGTTACTGCCTGGTGGGGTCTCTTGCCTCACCTTAACTGTGACCCCTCATGCCCACTGACAACATAGGTGCAGGGCCAGCAGCACCAGAGGGCATTTCAGCTATACCGGTGTGCAGATTTATATATATAAAATGATTTTACTTTTTTTTTTACTGTGCAAGAAAGAGCTCTGGAGCCGCAAGCTGCTCCAGCAGCAACTAGGGAAGAATGTGACCCAGCACAACCTTATTATTCCTGGCTAGTTAACTACAGCTCACGACTGGTCTCTAATGAACCTGTTAGATCCACACCTCATGATGGAATAAGGGTTTTCAGGACACTCCTAACTAATGGAGCCTGTTCCCACCAGGGCCCCACCACACTCGAGGCTGTGGGGATAACGTGGTGCAGGGCTGCAAGG